TATATATATATATATATATATAAAGTTGCTGAAACTTGTAGAACAATCATCTGAGAAGCATCAAGAACACTGACCTGACAATTTACAAAATCAAAGAGTGTTTGGCATCCTATAATTAGCATTTCATCATGTCTTGTCTCAACCAGTAGAGTTTGCATGATACTCAGCAAACTATTTGCAAAAAGGGGCCTACAGAAAAACAAAGCAGATTCACAAGTGTATCTTCTTAAAATCATGATGTAGAGAAAACACACGGATTAATGAAGAATGAAATATGATGAACTCACATTTGCTCCTTGCAAGAAATCAATAGTTTTCTGTAAATCAACATAACAATTTTTGCACCCTGAAAATTCTCGTTTCTTAATTCCTTGTAGTAACGATGCTCAAGAGAACTTGTTATCTGGAGGGATAGGATTGGGAAATTAGTTAATTAAACATTAGATAAAATATAGTTGGTTTTGTATATGGGAAACATTGCATAATTACTACAAAACACTTTGTTAATCTTAATCAAAAATCACATCAGAAACACAAAAGATACCTTCGGAACACGTAGAGGATTTTTCCCAGCATATTCACAGAGCTTCCCTATCTTTCTATCATTTGGTTCTTCACCCTTTTTCAAATCAGAAATAAGTCACATTGCTATGATTAGTTGACTAATTACTCTTATGTTAACTTTTATTTAAAACTATTAAGGAAACTAACCGGAGATCTAGGGAAAATATCTGAGATCAGCTTCTTGTACCTCTTCACAGGCTGCCTAGACCTTGTTGTGAGTGCTGGACAGAAGAAACAAAGGCTTCCACATGCTGGCAAAACTTGCCTTGATACTAATCCAGAAACAGCACTCATTTTGTATACCAGAATGTTATATACAATGACACACTAACTTATAGCAATCAGTATACAAATATCTCTCACTTTCTTCAACAATGTTTTTTGAGCTTTCTTCCCTTCTTATATGCCAGCTTCTTGATAAAGGAGAAGGGAAGGAAAAGCTACCAAATCACAAAAAATGGGTACTTCAACAAATATCCGACCAGCCTACAACATATAAAACAACGAATTCAGGTCAATTCCACCACCAGAAACCCTATCACAACCAAAAACAAGCAATCTACATTGCTCAATTGCAATCATCTTTTTCATCAAACAGGTGGTGTGCAATTGTGCATAGATATCCATCATAGATTCGTTTGGTTTCAATCAAAACTCCCAACAAAAATCGAATTCAAACGAAGGGGTGACAGAATTTACGAACAAACAATTAAAACTAGCATATGATCGGTTGGATTTTACCTTCAAGTCGATGCCTGTAAGAGCATAAGGCTGGAAGGCTGGGAGGTTTTGAAACCACGTTAAAATTCTTCAATAACGTATCGAATCTCCAGGTTTTGCTCCTTGTTCGTCTCTCTCTCCAAAATCATTCCCCTTTCTCTTCCTCTCTGTATATATGATTTATTACATATCCGCCGGTCGCCCGACCAGGTTTAAAATTCATTAAATTCTAAAGTAATTAATTGAAAGATTTTAAATTTAATTTTATAAAATATCGGAATGTGACGAAATGGGTTTGAGTTTCGTTAAATTATAGTCTAGAAAACGTTAATGGCTTCTGGATTTGGCTCTTGAATGTGATTTGGCGGGACCCAGATCGGAAGAGCACGTTATTGTTAGCTGTTTACATTCTGTATTTTGAAATACTTTTGACCGTTATTTATGTGTCCCCACCGGCCGGCCATTTTTTCACTTTCAAGATTTCTTCCTCAATGATTGCGTATTTTCAAGAAAATGTGTGTCGACTTTAATTGATTTTTTTTAAAAAAAATTTAGAATAAATCTCTTCCATTTTGAAATTTAAATAGAAATTTAAATACTGTATAAATTTTTTTTTTATTTTTTTCCTTTTTTTAACCGGATCTTTTGTAATGTAATAGGAATAACCGTGCTTATGAAATTTGTGCATTGAAAAAATAATTAGTCAAAAATAATGTATGATTTTTTCAGTTAGAAATCATTAATGTTACTTATTTCTTTCTATTTAATATTTATTCTAATCAATCTAATACACTTTGATTGTTTTTTTAAAAGAAATATGAATCATATTTTGTCATCTATTCAACTTCATTCTTGCCAAACAATTTCTTTTTTTGAATCAGCAAATAATATATATAAATAAAAAACAAAGGGGCCAAAAATAGCAAAGGCAAAGTACTAAACAAAAGGGAAAATAACAAAACTTAGACAAACATTAGGAAAGATAAAAAGGTGAACAACACAAATCTATCTAGCTATCACAACTCATATTGTCTCTGTATTTGCACCAAATAAATGCAAGGGAGATAATATTATCAGCAATCTTGGTGGGGTTATATGTAATTTTTTTAAACACCGCATCATTCCTCGCTCTCCAAACGCAAAAGAAAATCGATTCAAGAATTTGTTTTTTTCTGAGACAGTTCCCCCACGTGGCAGCATGGTTAAGAAACTCTGTGCCAAACAATTTCAATCTACAATAATTAATTTGTTTAAGAAATAATGTAATTTAACAAACTAGACAATGTATCCAATCAAAATGCCATTTTTGGAAGGAGTGAAATAATTATGTAATCAATACTAAAATATTTTTATTCATTATCTACAAACTTTAGTTTAATGCAATTACTGATGACAATAAACCGGTTTATGTTATTGTGTAATATACTTTTTATTTTCTATTTATTATATGATATTCTAAGTATGTGATGCTTTATAGCATTTCTTATTAATTATACTTCAGGACAAATATTAAAGTTTCTTATTTGATTATTTTATGCGAAATTATATTGAAAAAAATCCACTTGTATGATTGTTTATCGACTTAGAACGTGGAAAACATAAAGCCCGTATGCATTGACCAAATCTAAAATTTAAACCACATTAGAACAAATCAAATACCATTCGATCATCCATTAAATAGGTTAGTGGATAGTTGATAGATCTATGTTTAAAGATAAAATAATATAAACATGGAGTATGGCGTTGAATTTTTTTTTTCCCCTAATTTTTTATTATTATTCATCAAACCTTATAATCCACTCACAACCTCACACTATATCAAACGCCACTGTATAATATGGTTTACAAATTTTGTGATACATTCTAGTTTCTTATTTTGTCAGACCATATTATGTGGTATGGTTTGTTGTTTTTAACTTCAAAATCATGGTTCAAATCGCACCGCACTACGTAATAAAAAGCAATATACATTGATATTCATTAGCCATTACAGATTGGACAATCATGAAATTCCAAGACAAAAATACAAATAAATGCAAATGAGTATTGCTAAATAAATTGACAAAGCCAAAGTATTTTGATTATATTTGGCTCGTCACAACCCCGTTTAAGGTGATTAAGAATGATATGGGAAGAACACAATATTATCAACAACTTATATGTTTTACATTTTCGAAAATTCAATGATTATCCGGGCATAATAAAGTTGGAAGTAGTGTGTTGGTGGCAGAAAATCCTATCTTAATGGGGATGTTTTTTTATCGTGGCATACCAGAGCATGTAACAAGAGATAGTTTCCAATTTATATTTATAGAATATCGTTACATTGTGTCTTGATGTTCCTTTTGTTAATGACCAACTCAAATATATGTACACAAGATATAGTGGACTCATTAAAATGTTATATAATCTTTGCTACAAATGACAAGTAAAAAATGTGTTGAATTTGAATATATAAATCTGATATCAATTTACAATTTAATTCAATGGCAAAAAATTGGAAAATGAATGGAATAGAAAGAAGGGGTATTGCAATTTACATTTTACACCACTTTATATACTCTCTTTTAGGCTTTAGACACACCTCTATGTTCTTTTTCAACATGCTCCACCAACGCCACAGCATCCCTAAACCCTTTACTACACTTTGGACACACATCAATCGTCACTTTCATCACCCCTTTTTTCCCATGAACACCCTGCACATGATCTATCAACGCTGCACCCTTCGAAAACTTCATATTACATATTGGGCACTCCTCCACTTTCCCGCCTGCACAACCTCCATTGCCGCCACTACCACCACCACCACCACCATTACTATAACTATCCTCACCAAGCACCGCCATTTTAAGGGATGAAACTGCCGCTAGCAAACTTTCACTCCATCTTGATGATGATGAAGACCCCCAAAATGAGAATGATGGGTCTGGTTTTTTGGGGCCCGGGCAGCCATGGTCGGGTCCTAACCGGTGTTTTAAGCAGTGTTCGATGGTGCAGTCACGGCACTTGATGGTGGTGGAGAATGTTAGGGTGGTTCTGCAGCCACGGACTGGACATTTCTTTTTCTTGGTGGCTTTTTCGTAATTTGATGGATCACAATCTGTATTGACATGAGATTCCCATGTTATGTTTGGGTCTTGATCAGGGATTAAGTGAACCCCTTTTGCACAAAGTGGGCAGATGACTACTGTTCGATTGTTCTTGTTGGCTTTTGGACATTGATGTGTGGTGTAACTCCGGTGTTCTAAACAAAAAACCTGCAAGAGTTTTGGTAATTATCAAGTTGAAAAGTAATCCTTTAGCCATGAAAATTCAAACTTCTTTGGAGGTAAGGAAGCAAAACGATAGTTATATGGAGCACTTTAATGGCGGTTTTGGCTGATTAGTTTTAGCAGAATGATTCGTCTTATCTTTGATTCTTGTGAAGAAATGGAGGGTTTTATTTTATATCCTTACTGATTTACTTTGCAACTGTTTAAACCCTCTAAAAGCTCATCATGTTGATTCGAATTATAATCAAATATCAGAAGGAATCACATTCTTAAATCTCAACTGCACATTTTGAAACCCTATGATCTAATTGTAGATTAAGCGCGCAATTACCAACTCTAACAATCAAACAATGCATATCATAAATCAGATATTACAAAAGTAGAGCATAACATCCAATAACCAGAGTGCTACCGGAATTCACAAAACTCAATGGTTCTCGACGGATTTTGCAATAACAGGATCACAAAAGAAAAAGACAAGAAACAATGATAAAAATAGGAGTTAAATTAGAACCTTGTTGCAACAATCGCAGGTGAAGGGAAGGAAATCGATGAGCTTACAATCATCAACGGAGCAATGTTTACCTAGATTTGGGAACGCCGGTGTGCCCATTACTTCCTATAACCTAACTTTTTTCCAATTTTTTGATGCAGATAAATGTAAAACTGGTGATTTGAATGTATCTTTCGAATTCCGCGTTGAAATTCGTCTTCTTCACGCGGAATCGAAAGTCCAGATTGCAGAACGACAGGGAAGAAGAGCTGCCCCTGATGAATGGGAATATGTTAAGCTATTCAATTGAAGGGTATAATCGTAATATTGTTAGCGCAGTATTTTTCATTAAACCTCCCTTTACTATGTTACATATCACGTATCGGTCCCTGTAGCTTTCAAACTCTCAAGTTCTAAACACATCGTGGATGAGTCTTTTGTCATCTCCCTTTCTAATAAATAAATAGGTTTAATGTAAAACTGTTATGTGTCACACTCTATACTTGCCACGTGTCTCCCTAATAAACTTTCAGAATTCATTTTCATTCATTCATCGGCTATAAGGTATAATCGGGTATAATATCACAATATGATTTGATCCCATAAATGAGGTCCTAAAATTCAGTAAATCAGTTTTAATTTTACAAATTTACATGCATTGAAATATAGATAATACAGATATCATATCCCTAAAATCAGCTATTGATATTCCAATTTCCCCTCTTAAACCTCTTTAATTCCAATATTCACTACCACAAATACGATTTCGCTTATTTTCCCGCTCATTCTTTGTTTTAAATCTTGAAATTATCATATCAACTCCAACAAATCAGCAAATCAGTTTTAATACTCCAGAATGTGACCTGCATTCAAAACATTCGGTTTATAATTATACAAATATAAAGATTTGATATCCCTAAAAATCAGCAAAGAATTGACGATTACTTTATAATTATACCTATAAATACCTGTAAATATCGATTGATAAAGTTGTTTTCTTTACTGGTGTATTCAAAGCTTTCAGAGGATAATTCTCTTCCATATCTCTGCATCTACATTCATACATTTCAATCCATCAGGTTAACATACATATCTCTTCACTTCCATCGTCCTTTTTTTCTAAACGATAATCATAAATGATTATGATCTCCCATTACTTACAAATGATTATAGATTTATGACATAAATCGAAAATATGTTTTCTAACAAAAAAAAAAAATTTACAAGTGACAAGTATCCACCCCACACATGTACACACACGTCATTTCTACATCATACACTTTCATGATCTAAGTATTCATGTGGTTTCCAGAATTTATCTATAAGTTTTGTTAATTTAGATTCTCGTGATTACAATTTATA